GATTTTATAATATATATGTGTGTATTATAGCTGTTGAAAAATTATTATTGAATTTTACGTTCATATCATATTCAAAATTTTAATAAATAATTATATTCCAGATTTAATTTAGAATATAGAGGTCATGATAAATATAAAATATATATACAAAAGAAAACTGTAGAAACTGTATAGAAACTTATTCTTAAATTTAAAAATTGTTTTAAGTTCCATATTGCATTAACACAATTTTTAAATCTGATTCATCTTAGAAATAAGCTTAATTATAAATTTTGGAATGTATATAATTTAAATACAAAATTTGTTATTGCATTATACATTAGAAAAAGAAAGGACATTTTAAATACTTATACTTTATTTGATATTGATCTTATTTTGTATGATGCTTGTTGTAAAACAAATCATTGCTTAATTACATGGTTTATTATTTAATAAAGACTGTACACTGATAGGTAACTATACATTGTATTTTGATATATAAGAAAAATAGCTGACGCAAATAAGTTTGCAGCAATCTTCGTTTTATTATTTTTAATAAATTTATTTCCCAGTTAAAGAGTAGAATTAAGAGTAAACTGTTTATGATAGTACCAGAATTATTACAATATTCCTGCTATAATACTAAAATATATAGATAATTATGTACATTAGTTTTTGAATTGTATTTAATACTTAATGTGAGTAGCATAAAATTTGTTCAAGAAAAATACTATTGAAAAAAAAACCATTTGAACAAATACAAAAAGATTCGGACTATGAAGTAATTACGAGTATAACTGTTAAACTACGTAATATTATTCAAAGAAGTAAATTCCAACTTTTAAGACTCTAAAATTCTTTCGGCTTTTTTTTTAATGTATATGCTGTCAAATATTACAATATACTGTATATGCATATGTTATATTACGGAGAGTACACTTGGGCCACTTAATCCCGTTTTTTTACCGCCGGATCTCTCTTTTTTATTTGAAACAGGCCGAACTTCTCAAAAAACGGCTAAGATCTCTAACATTTACATTCGCTAAAACTGTAGCGCGCCCGTAGGAGTAAAAAAGTATTTATGTACATAAATACCAGGCACTGTTACAATAAAATTATACACATTAATTGCCTTATTGATACATACTGCTGTATTTATACTCAAGAAAAGAACCGCTTTTTTTGTTTGTTATATAAAATATATAGAAGTTTGTTATATAGAAAAGCAATAAAAATAAATTTAAGAAAACTTTATTCCTATTTTTTTTTTTATTAAATACATAATTAAAAATTTTATATATACGACATACATACATTACATACACATTATGTACCTACACTGCTGCCTAGAATAAAAAACAATAAATGATACAATTCTGACTAAATACTTACATACATACTTGTATAATAGTATATCAAAATTAACATCTTCATCATTTTATAATTTACTTTTATAACACATGCGAAAAACAATTAAATTAATAAATTTTGTAAAATTACAATTGCGCATGACTATTAAATGTCATTAATATATAGATACATAAATAGCTTAGCTAGCTGATTTTTTTTTAGAATACTAATTTTTCCTTCCCTTTAAGTAAACTGATTCATTTCTTGTCATATAAAATTATTTTTCATAATAATAAAAAAATAGAAGTATGATGTGAGTAGCATGGCACATGATCGATCCGACCGCATCATAAGAATGTATTTTCCCGAATGATATTTATATAAGCACCAATAAATTTACGTTAATAGATGAACGAATTGCACTCAAAGATAAAAATGTTTTAGATAAACTTATTTTGAAATTCAAATGTGATATATTTTTATGATCAAAACACTCGTACTGACACTCTTTCTTTAACCAGCAAAGTTATTTTCATCATTCTTCCGAAAAATGAAAAATTTTTCAGAAGAATTGATGAAAATTTTAAAATATGCTCTAAATAGGTACAACTCAATCACTACCTCTCAATTTCTCAAAAAATATTTCTTGTTCATTCAATAAACAAAGCAGAGAAGACATATATGTAAAATTTGAAGCAAATTCTTTTATATTTGGATGGAATTCGGTGTAAAGTGATTCATTACTTTTGAAAGATTTATGCATGCATAACAGTTTAACCAAAACTGATGTACATAAGGGTACAGATAGATAAATCGCTAAAAGCAATTTATTCATATTTTTTCTCAAATAGTGAGCAAAATAAAACTCGTTATAGAACAGAAACTCAAAATATGATGCGATCACAATACTTCCCTTTTTATATACAGGGTAGTCGATAAAAATTAAGACGGTAATCAGTTTTCTATAAACAAAAAGTATTTATATATAATTCCGTATGTATACAAATAAATGTATACAAATCATTATTACATACATACATATGTATATTTTTAATAAAAAAGAACTTTATTTTGATAAATACTGGGGACTTTCAAATGCAAGATTTTTAATATATAAAAACAAAAACAGATTAAATGACTTTTTTAGAGTAAAAGGTGTTTTTTTTTTACTTAGTTTGCATTATTGTTGCCATTTTTACTTTATTTACGATTTATTATATGTCAAATATATAGAATACTATAACGTTCATACTTAGTCTAGTTTCAACGAGTTGATAAAATATTAAGAATTTCTTCTACTCAAAAATCTTTATTCTAACAATAGTCCCTTACTAAGAATATTTATTAATGGTATGTGAGTAGAATTTTTTATATTTTATCGTCTTTAAATTTTATATAAAAACGTAATAAAAACTTTAGAAGTTAATATTTATAGAATTTGTTTACTTGTTAAATTATTTTTGTATTCGATCATGCTTTATAAACACTAATTTTTGCAAAAATTTTATATTAAAATGCAAAAATAGGCGCATTACACACATATGCATATTATACTATTTCTTATTATAAAACTAAAATACACATGCAAATATATTATATTATATTTATATAATTATGTATAAAAATTTCAAAATATTTTTGCATTCTTCAAAACCTATATATACAAATGATATTTAGGTAGAATATAAATAATATAAGAATTAGTATTTGTATAATTTTTAATATGATGGTAACAAGTTTTTCAAGTATCCTGATTTTAAGCTATTAGAATTAAATTATTGTCTTTTTGTCGGTTTCATTCGGTATAAGATATAAAATTTCATTATGGAGAAATTTAATCTTAAACAGTCTAATGCAAAATTAATGGAAGTGTATTAAAAAAATATTAAATAAGATTTTATAGTATTTTAATTGTTGAAAATTGATTATTAATTTTAATAAAATAAATTTTCTGTTATCGCAATTTTTACTAACCGTTCTGCTATTACAAATATTGTTTCATTTATAAGACAATTCAAAAATTATTCACGAATAATTTTAACATCAAGACCTCCGAGGTGACCATCCTACTAATTTTCTATTTCACAATATTATGTACTTCTAACTCAAAAAAAAATCTCTACTTTTTATTTTAAGTAACAAATTTCGGTAATCTCATTGAAAAACCTTTTACTATTTTAGGCATGAATATGTAGAGCAATTGGCATGTATTAATAAAAATAATTTGAATATCTTAATTTTATTTAATTATGCATTAATTTTAATATGTCTACTTAAGTATATTCAACAATTTAAATTCATTTTTTTTTCTTCCATTTAAAAACTACACTATCTAAAAAATAATATTAATTAATTAAAATAATTAATTGTTTCGTGGGAAAAAACTTTCATTAGTTAGTCTGATATGAGTTTTTTTTCATTACTTACTATAATTGTTTAACATTTAATATTTTGTATCTAATTAAGGTACTTTATTAATTTTATTAAAGGTAGAAATTTATTAATCAAAGAATTAGTTAGAATAAAAAAAAGTGTTGTCAATTGTGTTATAAAAATATTACAGTCCATGCTCAATTTTTTATTTCCTCAAAAATATGATATAAAATAAAAACCAATTAAAATTCTATTTATATTTAATAAGGAATTACTTTTTGTTAAATCTTAACATAAACTGATATATTTTTTTACATACCTGATTATTGAAATGTTAGAAATATTAGATTTAATTCTAAAGATGTCAAATTGAAATAGACTCTAGAGTCTAGAGCCTAGATGAAACAAAAAACGAAAGAAAGAATTTTTCGGAAATTAAAAACTATAAGTAAATTATATTTCCCTATTAGTATGTACTCGTAATTATAATTTCTGAATTTATTTTTGTTTTTGATACTTTGAATTAAATCACAAAATAAATATATGAAATTTTTACTGATAAATTTAATCAATAATTTACTTTAGAAATTTGAATTCATAAATCTCAAATAAGAATTTTTAATATTAGTTTTATATATGTATGTAGCAATAAAATAGCAAATAACCTGATTAAATTTTTTTTCCAGAATTTTTTTTTTTGTTTCCGAATATTGTTTTAATGTATACATATTGTACTTTTATAAATGGGAAATAAGTAAATAGAATTTCAAAAGACCCAGTAAAATATATTCCAGATTTTTGTCATTAATTTTTATAAATATAAATAGAAAGTAGAATATTGTAATGAAAAAAGTTGTAATAGGTAAACATCAAACCTAAGTATCTCAATTTTTTTACTGTTTATAGACATTGAGTATAACTAAAGAAACACAGAAATAAGTATGTAAATTTATTTTCTGTAACGTTAAAGAAATATTATTACCTATATTGTATTGCCCATCATATGTCTATACCTTGACCTATTATCTTCATTACAACATTATGTATATTTATAATTTGAAAAGGATTAAATAATTTTTACATTTACAAGTTACATATTGCATATTTTCTTTACAAAAATTATTTAAATCTCATTTAAAATTGTTAACAATATATCATAAAATAAAAATATACTTAGAATGTAACAAAATTAATTTAAAATATACAATACATATATATATATTTACTATATACTTATATTCAAAATGTAATATGGTACGAGTATAATGTTTTTATAATATTGTTTTAAGTATATTTACCTTTATTCATTCCTATTTTTAAATAGGATTTATTATTATAAACATATGTCTTTTTACATGTACTCATATGTATGTACATTTAACAATATAATATTGTATGTATACATAAGTTAAAATCGATCAAGAAAAAAAAAAAATCTGTTTTTTTTTTTTATTTTCCTTTCAAACAAAAAGTCCTTGAAAAATGCACTCGAATCCTCTAATGTCTATCTTAAAAATTGATTGATTATAATATATGTGTATAACATCAATATTCTTATATGTTCATTTTATATTTTCATATATTATATTTTTGTGTATTACTGTTATAATATTATTTCAATCTTAAATTTTTCCTTTTATATTTAAATTAAATTTAATATTAAAGATAAATTTTCAATGCTTGGGTACCCATATGTAAAACAGATAAATATTTTGTTATTGTATGAAATTTGCAATTTGAAACTAATTTACAATTATATTGTATTTTATTATACATACATATATAACTTTTTTATTTTTACAGTAACTAAATAAAATTTAAAATTATTTAGAAAAATAATTAAAAAAATATTTATACCTATAATATAAAAATTTAAAGAAAAATTCCTTGGTTTATTAGCGCAAATTTTGAGGTTATACTCGTATTTAACTCCATTTTTTTTTCTTTTATTTTTTTCTTTATTTTTGTATTCTTTAAGGGTGTTAACGGTGGTGAAATTTTTTTTGAGCTTTTATATAAATATAATATTATGTAGAAATTTTATACATAAAATACATTACTTAATTTTTCGCATTCAATTTTTTGTATTCTCTATCTTGACTTTTTAATAAAAAATATTTTATATTAACATTTATCTTTGAATTATTTTATTATCATGTACAGAACTACATATATTAATAAATAAATTATTTTTTCATATTAAAAATTCATATTTATTCATAAAAACATAAAAAGAATTTAATTTCAAAACAGTAAACAAAATTCATCTTTTAATATTTCTTTGAATTTAATAGATTTTCCATCTACACTTTTATTTAACTATCCGGTTTCAAGTTTTTTTTACATCTGAAAGAACAAAGCAACACGACATAACTATTTTAAAAGTGAGCATGAAAAATAATAATTACTCTAAAAAAGTTTTTATGATTTGCTGAATATGTATGATTGAGGTAATACATAAACAAAATTATATAGAAATTTTTTCTTGTCTTTTTTTTTTGTTGAATAACGTTAATAAAAACTTTAACGGTATGACTCATACATTTGTGTTTTCATATTGAAAATAAAAAGAACAACAACAATTTTTACATATGCGCATCTAAAAGCTTTTTATACAATTGAATTTTAATTAAACAACCTGTTACCAACATTTTGACTAAAAATACACAATATATTCAGAGAAACCATGGTATTATACAACTTTATTTTAATATGTAGTTACATAAAAATATTGTTATGTATCTATAATATTAAGTTATAACAGTTAATATACATGCATTTTGGCAACGATTTTGTATTTTGTTGGAAATATATTTTGATTTTAAAACATTTTTGATTTACAACAAAAAAAAAAATATGTATAATACACATGTAAAAAATACTAGTGTAAAACGGTCAAAAATAAATCATTCGAAATTTGTTTTTAGAAGAAACGAGTATCGAAAGGATATACTCGTTTGACGAAGGACGTTATTTACGTTATATGATTATTATTGTGAATGCGTTTATATTATGGTATATCTATTTTGAATATATGTATTTTAATATTTAGTTTTTGAGAAAACAAAAATCGGTGTGATGAAGAAAATTTACAATTTATTTTCTAAATCACACACAAGATGTTGTGACATAACAATATAATATATATTATTTTATTAAATTTATTACTTACCTTAAAATTTAAATTTAATTGCAAGAGTAATACCATATTTTCGATGCAATTCCAATGAAGAAAAGGTTTTCCAAAAAACTTTTATAGGAAATATTAAGACTAATTTTAGTTTAGAATCATGTTTTTGTATTTATTTACAGCAATCAAGAAATGAATAGTTCATTTTGCTTTTATTTAACTATTTGAAATTTTTAAAATTATTAGAACACAAAACATAAAAAGATAAATGTATTCTGAATTCTAATATCTCGTACAGATTTGGTCGGTTAAACAGAAAACAACAATCAGTATCATAAGTACAATGGTAAATCTTAGTTCAAAAAAAATGGGCCAATAACAAAAGACCTTAAATTTTCACATCAATAGAATATATTGAACATTAACAATAGAAGATTAATAGTCATCGCAGATGATATATTTTAAGAAATCTTTCAGCTCAGAAAGAATGACATTAAGGATAGGGAGCCAAGAACTTTAGTTATAGTTTTGTTTAGCTCGTAGTAATCTAAGAAACCTTTATCTCTTTCACTTTTCCACTTAACAGCTTCTGTGCAATCTGTAAATTGAAAGTGTTGCACAAATATTGTCACGTTCAAAAGAAACAACAGGAAAAAGCTCAAGTAAAGAAATTTTGAAAGTTGTAGTACCTTAATTTAAAGCTTTTGATGAGCCCCAAGTAACGCCTCTTAAAACAATTAATATTAAACTCTAATATTTCTTAGAGCGAAACAAGAAGAAAGCATGAAGATTGGTAAAAATTTTAAAGGTCTTTGTTAATTTCTTTTGTTTCGAAGACCGCGTAATATTTCACTTAGCCTTATAAAATAAAATCTTTTCAATTTTTCAATTTGCACTTACTTATTTCGATTTTATTTCCCTATTCACTTCCAAAAAAAAAAACAAAAAATTTTTTCAAATTTCTTAAAGTAATATATTCAAAAGTTGAAAAAATTAATAGTGTTTTTACATCCGCAAATTTCATACAATTATATATATACATAATTATAAATATACATATACTATAATGTAAAACTTTCATATTTAGCATTAGCAAATTTAATTTTGAGTATGTCAAAATATTATTGTTAAAGTAAAAATTGTACAATTTTCAAACAGTTTCAAATTTACGAATAGTTTTCGTAAAAAAATTTTGCACGTAATGGTACGAAAAATATATGTTAAATTTTAAGTTAATAACAAATGAAAATTTCGATAAACGTTTCTAAGCTCCAATTAAAAATATATTTCACATAATTGGAGAAATGTATTCTTGAAATATTTCGAAAAATGCTCTTACAGGAATATGCTCTTGGAAGTGTTCTTCTCTTCAAAAGATGTAAATAAACTAAAATTAAAAACTATTCTTCAAAAACTAATGTAAAACTTTGTAAAACAATTGTTATAAATCATGATATAGAATACAAAATATCCGTGAAACTAATATTTTTTGATTTGTTTTAACGAAATATAAGTAAAAATATACATACATAGATACATCAATTTTTGTTATTATACAATATATTCTAAAAAATATTAATAATCAACTTGATATCAGAAAACTTAAAACTAATTTGTATTATAAATAATATTACTGATGAATATTCATGAAAAACGACTAATTACTTCCGCCCTCAGTAATATAATTAGGTTATGAACTTTGATAGCTGTTCCTAATTTAATTTTTAGAATGTCAGTTAAATCTTTTTGTCGCAAAGATAATAACGCTTCTCCATCAATATCTTCTTTATAAAATATTTCGCTGATTTCTTTGCATTGTGGTATTTTATTAAAAAACTTAAATACTTCATCGACATTCCATTGTAATGGATTTTTATATATCTTATCTAATTTTTCAGTAATATGTTGAGCATAACTAAGCCAAAGCTTGTAATTCTGTTCCAATCGTGGACCGTAATCACATAATAAATGTTTAGTTATTTCAATTTTAGGATCTAAAACAGTTTTGTCTTGAAAATTTTCATCTGATTTATACTCTTTTTTCATTGGAAATATATTATCATTCGAGTCGGGACGATTTTGGAAACGATGTAAATGCACATTTCCTAATGATAAAGCATCTAAATTATTTGTTAACTGATTCGAAATATTAAAACTATCTAAAGAATTATCAATTTTTTTATATTTTGATATATCCCAATTACATGTGTCGCTATGTTTTCGCTTCTGACTACTGATGTTTTCCTTCCTAAAAATTTATTGCGTATTGTATAATAAAGAAAGGTCAACTAAAAAGACAAAAAACTTACATATTAATTTCCGTGTAATCCACGCGTTCAGGTTTTTCTAATTCTCTCTTCCAATTGCTCAATAAGTATGGACAGGAATCTTCAGTCGCATGAAAATCTATATCAAAACGTTTCGCGTTCCCAATTCCACGACAGCCAACAACTGGGCAAGGTAATATAGAAGGCAAGCTATCAAAATCTGTATTTTTAAAATTATGAGTCTCTTTCGCAAACATGTATAAAAATAAATTAATTACCTGGGGGTGACTCTAATTCGTGACCAGTAGCGTCACACCATCCAATTGGATGAATATCAGGGCTATCATCTACTACCCAAAAAGAATAATCTAATGACCAGCCATCAAATAATACTTTAATTTCATATCCGTCAGTCATTATAACTGTGCCCGGTCTTATTAGAGAAGGATTCTTTTTATCGACAATCTCTAATTTCATTCCTACTTTAAATGAAATAGGTTCTCTTGTTTGAAAATAATCTTCAGTTGCAGGAATTCCATTAATTGAATTTAAATATGTTCGCCAATCGAACTTGTCTTTCCAATCTGGAGGTGGTACAATCTCAAAATTATTTTGTAAATGCCAATTAACTGGGTGAATGTACGGTGAATTACAATCTACCCAATAGTCATATCTATCATCCCAACCATCGAAGTGGACTAAAATTCTGTTATCAAGAACATCTGCCACGGAAGCCACACATACTTTTCTTGTGTTTCTTAAATCATCGGCTTCGAAGCGTACTCCAATTTTGAATGGATTAGTATTGGACTGCAAATAAAATTCTATTTACTTATATTCTATTTAATATCTATAATATGTTAACATATTTTGTATTTGCACTGAAATTTTCGCAAGGTGATTTGTGAAAGAAAACCAGTATTATTTTCTGTTCATTTAAAATCTAAAACCTTTCATTAATTGCATGCTCATCAATAAATATGTGACCATTTTTTTAATTTTTACAGTATCAATGTCGTAAATTATAATTTACTAACTTATTTTATACATTTTATCAGCGCAAATATCTAAAAAGTGATACCATGTTTATATACTTACAGACGAATTCAAATGAGTGAATAAATTTCTGGGAGCTGGAATTGTTTTCGTTTGCATTAAATAGGTTGACCAATTAAACGTTGCTGGATTCATATATTTTGGCGGTTGAAGGGCACGATTTGTTTTATTACACCACCCTGGTGGAAATATATCCATTGAATCTGCATTAGTCCAAAAATCGTATGTGCTTGAATATCCATCGAAATGAATTTTTAATCGATATCCTTTTATTTCTACTACAGAACAAACACAAAACAGCGAGCTATATTCGGGATCGATTGCCTCTAACTTCATTCCCACTTGAAACAAGTTAGGACCACATGGGAACGGATTTAAAAATAAATCGATTGGCGCTGGTTCGGCATTAGAAGCATTTAAATAAGATGTCCAAGAGAACTCTCTTTTCGGAATTATGTTGCTACTCAACAGGCTAGTTGAAGAATCAATTAGTAAAGCCGACATTTTTTGTTTACGTAATTTTTTTTGTCGTTGCTGGTTAATATATATTTGTTGTAAATTAGAAGATTTACTCATTTTTTTTTTCTCAAATTGAGAAATGCAATCGTGACTGCAATATTCAGGAGCCAAAAAATCAACAGCAGCTCCATGGCAATTACACCCTTTACAAAAATAAACCGGTTGCGTACATTCATCGAGCTTGTGAGACTGCATTTCTCTCTGATAAATAGGTTTTTCATATGCTATATCTAAACGATTTCGATTTACATTCTTTTCGAAAATTTCCAATAGACCGAGTTCATTTATTCGAAAGGCCATACCAGCGTCTTTTGTAAGACCAATTCCAGTTCGCCACTTAAGAATATTTGCAAGTTCATTAATCTGAACAGCAACGTTTTGAGCACATGAATTTGGCTTAATATTTGACATTATTTGTTCAATGAAAGCAGGATTGTCTCCATTTGAAATAATACTTGTTTTTTCAGCTTCTTTATTAGAATTGTCTATCAGAGAAGTTAGTTTTGATTGTACTTTCAAATCCTCTTGTGCTGCCACAACATTTCGCCGATTATTGCTTTTATTAAAATCTACGTTTTGCTCAAAATGCATTCCCGCTTTTACTTTCGGCTTGCTTGCATCATGAATATTATTGTTAGGAGAGCTATTACTCTCACCTGAAACGTTTGGTGAAATTTCTATTTGCTCTTCGCACAATAAAGTTTGATTTAAATTCTCCTCTGAGGATTTTGGTGTTTTATTGGTTTCCGACAACTAAAATATACAAAAATGAGATTTAAACATGCAGATTTAAAACTTTGCTATATTAAAATTGCAATTTTTCTTATAATTACCTTTTCTGAATTCGAGAACAATTCTAAGACTCTATCAATTAAATTATCCTTTGTGCCTTTTTTGGCGTTAACTTGGGTATCAGATGTTGTTGAAAGCCTTCTTTTAGACTTTTTTTTTATTGGGTTACGACAAGATAATGATTTTGATCGCCCCAAGGTTCTTGGACTTCGTTTCAGTATTTCTACATTTTTGTTTTTCAACAAACTTTGTTGTTTCGCTACTTTCACTTTACTAGAACCGCTGCCAGTTCTTACAAATTTTTGCGGAGTCCTATGAGATTGAGCTTCGATTTCATCTAATATTGGATACATATTATCAACATCATTTTTTTCCACGTTTCCAGCTTTTCCGCTATTTTCCTTTTGCATTTCGCTTGAGGTTTGACCTAGCAAAATTTCAGAGCTCTCAACATTATTTGTTTTGTTCTCTTTATTTTCCAATTTAATATTCTCTTTTATTGAAGTATCAGCACTAGAGTCGCTTTTAACATTATTCTGAGCAGATTTGATATCATTTGTTATATTGGAGCAAATTTCATCACCTCCTTCAGTTTTTTGTTGTACGTTATTTTGAGCTTGATCAAGGTGTATATTACTTAATGTTTCACTCACAACTGCGGGTGCTGCAACAACACTACCCACATCATTTGTTATGTTTATGCAATGTTCAGTTTCTTTGACAGTTTGATTTTCTAGAAAATTATCCATTTTAGTACGGTCACTCATTATATTCTGTAACTTTTGCTCAGGAATGAATTGAGTTATAATAGTTATGTTTTCCTCGTTATTATTCAAAGAACTAAACGTAGGCAAAGTTTTGTTTTCATTACATCTGCTTAATTTCGATATTGCATGCAAATTAACGTCTTTATTAATTGCATTCAACATCTCCGAAGATATAACACTTGATCCGGTATTATTTATTCTTGGAGAAGTATTGGATTTTATACCTGTGTGAGAATTCTGTGTAGCAGCTGTTGATATGGAAACTGTAGCTGACGGGGTTGCCAAAATATTTCTTTTTTCTATCAACGAAATTGATGGTGATGGCTCTTCTATTGGTCCCTGAATTTAAAAAGGATATTATAAAAAGGATAGAATAAAACTTTAATTATAGAATAAAAATTTTCACTTACATGTCTCGAATTTAGGGGTGCTTTAGATATTGTTATATTTGACGAGATTTTTCCAACTGGCAATAATATTTTCTTGGCCGATATTCCAGTGTGTCCAGTATTTAGTGAAAGAGTCGTCTCAGCACAAGGTAATGTTTGCGCAGCAAGGGTAGAATTAATAATAGATGAATTTGAAGTAATTGGTAATTGTTTTATATTGATAGAATTTGTTGTTTGCACTTTACCATATTGTACAGGGATTACATTACTTTTGTTTTGTGAAGAATTTGGTGTTTGTTTTTGTTGTATTGAGCTTACAATTACGTTTTCATTAATTTTTGCATGAGAAGTTTGATTATTAAACAATTTGCTTGTGACGTTTATACTTGCTTGCTGACAAGTTCGTGCGGGGCCAATCCCAGGTTTCAAGGGTATTATTTCTGAATTCTTAGTACTGGAAATTTTCGGATTTATAATAGTTTGAGATGTAACTTTTGCATTCGGAAAAATTGGAATATTCGTAGAAATTGCATTATTTGAAGGACCTTGAAGTGATGTTAATGGAGTACTTTTTATAGATACTGTCGTAGGAGTTGTTAATATTGACTGCATAGGTTTTGAAACTGATTCAGATGTTGTTTTACTCTGTAGTAGCTGCATATTTTTATTGTTATTGGTTGTGTTTATGGAATGATTATGTAAAATAACCGAATTCCCAGAATTTGTTGCCGTTTGTACTGCTGGGACAATTGCTGATGGTTTTAAGTGTAAAGAAAGAATTTTGTTGTTCGGACCTTGTACAAGTAAATTACCATTCTAAAAATAAAAACAAAATTAAGTCTGGCATATGATAGAATTTTATACTAAACAAATAAAAAATATGCAAAATCACGTTTGATGTTAGTAAGATGAATTTATTTCAATTTATACCCAGATATCGTGTACCAACACCTTTTTTTGTTTGAATAAATTTTTTAAGGACTGAAAGATAAATTTTTTAAGGACATAGTAAATACATACATAATTTATAAAGAAAACCAGCTTACTGTCTATTATAACAACATTTTTTAGTTTCAATGATGAGGCATATAGATACCTACGTACATTGAAAATGACCTACCTTACATAACTTTGAGATTCCTACCTTTATTAATTAAATTAAATTAAACTATAAAAGATCGATTGAGTTCTTTCAACAGACTGAGGAACTATATATTGTATTTTAAACCGTAAAAATATTTAAAAATATTTTTAGATAAAATTTACCACCATGAAATTATAGATCTTTACATAATATGTACCTACATAAGTACATACATACATATACAAATGTAAAATATATGACATAATTTTTACTAATTCAATAAAAATATTATAAGTTACAAAGCGTTTTTTAAATTATTAATTTCCGAAATTACATGGTAGATTAGTCGGTGCCTTCCTAGTTATAAAGGAACAACATCTTTGTTTTAATTAAAAATTATATGTACTACATAGGCAGGTAATTTATATTTATGTAACACGTGTTAAACATTATATACACAAAATTTTCGAACAATCTAAAACCTAGATAAAAAATTGAACTTACCTTTTGTAAAAATACGATAAAAATTCAACTATTCAGTACACTTTTTTGTGACAAACTGATTTCGTAAGTTTGCTAATATCCTAGAAATTTAAGTGGTTGTTCAAACAATACCTTATAATTGTATATATATTATATTTTGAGTTTTCATGACGTTAAAAAATGAGAATTTTTATTTTAATTTTTCATTTAAATTGTAAGTAGCATTCTCTTTTTGGTTTTATAAACTTTATAAACTAATAAATAATAAAAACTGATTTTTTTATTGTACTAAGACTTTACAGATGTCTGTAAAAAAAATTCTGCACAATTCTTTTCTGTCAAACAAGATATAAGTATGTTTAACTTTGAAATATGCCTTATAAAATGAGAAAGAATGTATTATAAGTATTTTATTATTAAATTATAAATTCGCACAAGTTCTTTATTTAAAAAAAAATCAATTTATTACCTTATGTTTGTTTCCTAACAAAAAAAAAAACTCTTAAATAACCTGCTCCTTCTATAACAAAATCCTTTTTCGGTAACATTTGAAAAAAGAAATTAAGATCATCGATACATTTCAAAATAAAATAACTTTACGGTTTCTTACTTCGGTAGAACAAGAACTTAATGTTCATCCAACAAAATGTTCTTATTACATATCATTATACAATTTTAAATTAAGGTGAGAATAATAGAAACCTTTGTGAAACAAAATATGTTTTTGAGAAATAACATAAAGGTGACCAAATAAAGTAACCATACAAATGTATTCAAATAACAAAAAAACATTACTTACGGATGACCTTTGTATGGATTTTACTGGTAATTTAGGCAAAATTTTGATTAAATTTTGATGGTTTGTGTTCCCTGTAGAATTAATGACCAACGAAGATGCATTGGATAATAATCCTTGAGTCGAAATTGGTTGCACTTTTGTTATCTCATTAGACGAAATCCCTACAGGATTGGCTCTTTCTAAAGTTACCACAGAACGAGACTGAGATTGAATTTCGGTTGCTGTATTAGAAGCAATACCAATTCCAGCACGATTGTCAGTTTTAGTTAATGTTGCAGTAGATGAAACCATTTTTGGCTCATCCAGTAGTGGTGGCTTTGGTAATATAGGGATTTTTCTATTACCTCCAATCTGTTGAACAATAACATTTTCATATGTTTTAGTTTGATTTTGTGTAAACTTTTGGACCTTGGAATCCATTTTAATATTTTTAAAACACTATTTATTTTTAATTTTTTTGATATAAAATAAATGCAAGTTATCTTCCCGTTTTATATAATCACTTGGTTGTCACTTTTTTTAAACTATATTTTAAGAAAATTTTCTGATAAAACTCAACATTTACTGTTTCGTTTTATAAAAACACAAATAACATCATTTATTTTAAATATTCTGATATGCTCGTTTTTCAATTGAAATATTTTTAAAGTTATTTTTATTTTAACTAAACAAAGTTATTTAGTGCCCGCAAAGTAATTAAAATCTGCAAAAAACACTGCAACGACATCTAGTTTTATTTTTACAGTTGACAGTCATGTCTTCCTTTCTGTTTCCGTAATTTTATCAGAAGCGTTTAAAATTGTTCTTAGCGCCACCACACCTTAACGACATTTTTCAAATATTTTTAAAATTTGAATATAAAAAGGACTCGCAATACTTATAGTTTATATTCCCTAGTTTTCTTCTTTTATTATTATTTTGTTATGCCTTGTTCTTACAAATTATCAGAAAACAACACTTTTACATTATTGACTACAATGTAAGAGACTTTAACACTATAATACATATAATAATGTTGTATAAATTGTCCTACTAAAACCATAACTATTATATCTTCACTATAATAGTTTTAAAATTTTGTATAAAAATTTTCCACAGCTATTATAAGCATAGACATTATTATCATGTTTAAAATTATTTTATGTCGATTCAACCGGAATGTAAACTTTTACATAAAATCAATTTTTTTTTTGTTTGAATTTTTTACAACAATTCGTAACACACAAATTTAAGGTTAGGTAATATACATAAATATTTTTTATTACTATAAACGCTTTTTATAAACAACGTTACAATTTATAAAACATTTAATATACTATGAAAGTTTCCAGTTTCATTTTCAAACTGTCAAATTATTAAATCAACGGACATTTGCGAAACTAGCAGAAGTAGCAGTATGCATAATTGCGTACAGTGTAAACTTAATTTGAAAATTGGGAATTACTGGCATATAATATTGTGAATGAAAATTGGCATCTTATATTTACATACTTCAATTGAACTGAAAATAAAACTTATTGTGAAACTTACAGCTGATCGTCAACGTTACAAAATGAAATTAAATGAAAATGTTAAAATTATAGGAAGAAAAGTGTTGTTGATTCCATATGAAGAGAAACATGTAGAAAAGTAAGTACATAATATTAAAGCTAAGCAATTGTGAAGAGTATTCGATTCTTTATCAAATATTGTGTACACCTTCAAGTACAAGAAAAAGATGCATGAATATAGGGATATTATCATATAAATTTGTTAATCTCAATCATAACACTTTATGGAAATGGAAACAATTGTAAAATTATTTTTTGCTATTTTTAAATCATGTGTACATACGTAAATGTATGTATGTATACCTACATATGTACACATTATAATTGATTATGAATATTGAAATTATAATAATAATTATAAATATTGAAAAAATAATTTTTAGTAAAAATTTGAAAAATAATTTTAGATACCATAATTGGATGAAGTCGGCAGAACTACAAATTTTGACTGCGTCAGAGCCTTTATCGTTGGAGGAAGAATATGTAAAATAACAGTTTATTTTTTTTAATTCTAATATTAAACTTAATTTTTTTTTAAAGGCAATGCAAAAATCCTGGAGAAATGATGAAGATAGTACGTATAAGCTAATTTTGGAAACGTTTTGTAAAAGTTTAAATAAATTTTAGAATGTACTTTTTTGATATTATCAAAAGAAACATTTGATACAACAAATGATGAATTGAAATCTCTTATTGGTGACACAAATTTATTTCTACAATATGAAGATGATCAGAATGAAAAAGTGGCAGAGTGCGAGATAATGATTGCTGAAAAAGAATATCGTAGAAAAAAACTGGGGTGGGAGTCGATGCTTTTAATGTTAAAATATGGGCAGTGTATTTTAAACTTAAACAAATTTGTAGCCAAAATTAATGAGAACAATGAAAACAGCATTTATATGTTTAAAAAAATGAATTTCAATGAAATTTCTAGATCAGAAATATTCCATGAAGTCACTTTAGAAAGAAAAGTTGATGAGACTTGGACTACTTGGTTAGATTCACAGGTGGATTTACAAATTGAGAGTTACAAATAATTAATTTTAAGTTAAAATTTGAAAATGCATAAATAATAAATTTTAAATATAATTTTAACTATGAAATCCTTAAAACTATTAAAAAGCATTTTAATGGATCAAAAAACATTTTTTTATTTAAAAATACTTACCTACATACATATGTAGGTATGAAACTTTATCTATACATTGAATATGCATTTCACGAAAGGGTTTTAAGAATTATTTAAAATTGTTTTAAATTATTTTATAATAGAGAATAAAAATATAAATATATTTATGCTTTTTTGGATTTCAATTATGTTTATAGCAAAGCTATGTATACACAATAATGTACATACATACATACATAATAATATACAGTGTGCATCTTCAATGTATTTTAATAAGGGGTATATGGCCCCTAAATGATTAAAAGCAGATTGTGAAGGACCAGAGAAACACCGTATTTTATTAAAACTTATTAAATTTAACACATAATTCACACAAGAGAAATTAATATAGCTCATAAATACACATACATATATACATATCCATATGTAGCTATGTATGTAGCATTTAAAATCAGTAATAATCAAAAATAGCGATCACTTTTTGAGTTTTTATGTTCCATTTTTTTTACTCTCTTGAAATATAAAACACATTTCACATTTCGTGGTTTAAATTAAAAACTTAAATAACGGGAAAAAAATTTGGATGATTTTTTTGAGTTTCGAAGTTTCATTCGAAAATGTACGGATCAATAAAAGCAAACAAAGAACATAAAGAAATAAAGAAAGCAGTTATACTTTAAAGTTCACTTAACCTTCAAAGAAAGAAGTTATACTTAACCTTCCAGAAGTACAGTAATTAGGAAATATTAGCCCTTTCAAAGGTTATAAGAAAAAATGTCCGTTAAAATCAATGTGAAAAGAAAAAATTTTATTCATTTTTGATGCTCTAAACCAGAGGTGGGGAACCTATTTAATTCGTATTTCTTTTCCTATTTAATTCATATTTCTAATATACGAATAAATCAATTCCTTTTTAACGATGTAGGAGATTCAAAAAATAATATGTAATGGAAACCTGATTAATAAATTAAAAAATTATATTTTCTGGTAGATTTTTAAAAACAATTATGGCGCAATTTAAATTTTTTAAAACAATTTGCAGCGATCAGCTGGTTTTTAATTTCTGTTTTAGAATATTAGATTGCAAATATGTACATATTTAAACATAGCCGCCAAAATCTTGACTTTAGTTACAAAATCTAGAACACTCTTTACATTATTAGAATTGGATGTAATAATAGAATCGATGGTTCGAAAGTTTGATGTTTCGTCAAAATTTCACGTAAATAATTTTCTCAACTGTCAATAATGACATTCCTGTCCGTAAGTACAATGTCAGTCATTAATCAAAAGGATGAAAAGATACTTGGTGAAATTTACAAACAGTAAATACCTATATGTTAACATTTATTTTTAAAAATTATTTTACCATAAGACCTTCGCCGGGACCAAAGCAAAATAATTTATCATAAATGACAAAAGATTGGAAATGCTGGTGTCGGTTGTGTGGGAGAGAAAACGGGAGTGAAATAGACGTCTTTATTAAAAATGAAAACGCAACTACAATTGCTGAAGCTATTCAAAGTTATTTCTCAGTTTCAGTAAGAAAAACAGCAAGCCAAAAATATCACACATATGTATAAAAAATGTATTTCTTTTTTAAGATTCTTGATACAGATATTATACCAATAAAAATATGTAACGTATGTAATGATATTGTGATAGGACTAATAAATTTTACTATACGATCTTCGAGAGTTCAACAACTTTTTAATGAACTTCAATTTCACCAGAATGTAGAAATTGTCGATATAAATGAGCTGCGTAATAAATATGGTTTGACAAACCAAACTAACGACTTAAAATTCCTTAAAGGCAGCCAAAATTTTGAAAAACATGATGATATGATCAAGATAAATGAGGTTCCTGAAGGCAGCTTTTTAGACGAAAATATTGGTGGATTTTTCAAATGTGAAAATAACAGTAATTTTAGTGCGGAACACGATGATAACAGTAGTAATTTAAGTGAAGACGAAAAACCTCTTTTGAAGTTAAAAACAAAGAAAGGAGCATTGCACAAACATATATTAAAAAGAAGAAAAATTAAAGTTTTACCAGAGAACTTTGTTGAAAGTAATTTATCAGAACACAGTTCTGGAAATGATTCAGAAAATAGTCTAAATAGTAACACATCTGAAAAAGATATTCTAAATGAATGCAATAATAAGAATGAACCGGATTCTCTTTGTGTGCCAAAAAAGATGCGCAGAAGGAACGTTTCTCCAGTTGTCTGTGAAATTTGCAATAAGAGTTTTATTAGTATAGGTAAATATAATTATCATAAAAGAACGAAGCATAACACTGCAAAGAAAAACGAGTCAGTTGTTTGCAAGACTTGTGGAAAAACTTTCAAGAAACAGTCCAAATTAGAAGATCATGAAAACGTACATTTGCCACCAGAAAAACAAAAACTGTATTCTTGCCCGCAATGTGATAAAAAATTTCCAATACAAGCTTCAATCCAATTGCATATTAAAACGGTACATATGCGAGAAAAAACATTGATTTGTGAAGAATGTGGAAAAATATTTGCAACAATTGCGGAACTTAATTCACACAAAGTTGTTCACTCAGATTTCACACCATTCCAATGTCCAAAATGTCCGAAAACATTTAAAAGACTGATTTCATTAAGAACTCATATTGATTGTCACGATGATACTAAATACACTTGTCCAATATGTGCATGCCAACTGAATACGAAAACTATTTTACGCCGCCATATGGTTATACATTCAGATGAGAAAAAATACAAATGTAATTTTTGTCAAAAAGGTTTTAAAAGAACCAAAGCTTTAAAAAATCATTTAATACTACATACGGGTTTAAAACCATATGAATGCCCTTTTTGTGACCAAACATTTGCACAGGGTTCAAACTGTAGAAAACATCAAAAAAATTCTCATCCAGCAGAATTAGCAGCGATGGAAAGTAGTGGCGAAAAAAAAGCATGTAAAAATGTTCCACCATTAGAACATTTGAAAGCTGTGAATAATGCAGCAATTGTTAATTCTAATGATAACATTATTACGAAAATTGAAAATGTGACTAACGAAAATGTGACGAAGTTTTATTTAAATAATTACCTTAATTAAAGCATATTCTTTTAATTTTAACACAATACTAAATTTGATTGATTGATATCAATGTTGGACTTTTTTTTCAAGATCATATAAAATGGAAATATGAAACCATAGTAGGTGCATATTTACATTGTGTTGCAGCCTTACTTTGATTTAATAATGCTGAACTTAATATACATAATATATAAAGCATCAATAATTCAAAAAGTTTAAAAAGTAAACAAATTAAAAAATCCAAGTTATAGGATGTTTCTTTTGTAATCCATATTTCACATTATAAGAAAGTTCATACTTTATTTTCTATAAATTAAGGAGTAATCGACGCCTAGTTAGTGAAAATTTTTCACATTAAAAGAAAACATTTCTAACTAGATTTGATCTGTTGAGTCGTCTGTGGATAACCTAACAGAAATAAGATCAAGATCTTACAAAGAACATATATAACGATTCCAAAGCAAATTTTTATTTAATTTGTTCTTTTTTATTAAATAATATAATTTCTCTAAGAAAATAAGATACATTCATACATATGTAATTTAATTCAAATTAAAAAATTCATTAATAATTAAAGTTATTAAATCTTACTCTCCTAGAAAAGCGTGATAGAATTGAAACTCTAAAAATTTAAGGGGAAGTTAAGGCACATTTCCATTTTTGAAAATGATAAACGTTTGTTAATCTGATTTTGATATGCTCGCAGATTTATGTATGTTTTTATAATTTCTGAGGGATTTAAGACACAGCACAGAATAAACGATTGATAGTCCAATTTCTATATAACTTAAAACTAACTTCTTAAAATGTCAATAATGACATTACTGTCATTTGAAATAAATTAGTGCTGTCAGTTATTAATCAAGGCTGAAAAGAAAGTTGGAGTTTACAAACAGTAAATATTAGCATTTATTTTAAAAAAATATTTTTTAAAACCATCAGCGGAAAAAAAAGAGAATTTAGTATTATAAATGACAAAAGATTGGAGGAGCTGGTGTCGTTTGTGTGCTAGAGAAAATGGAAGTGAAATAGACGTCTTTATTAAAAATGAAAATGCGACTACAATTGCTGATGCTATTCAAAATTATTTCTCGGTTTCGGTAAGAAAAACAACAAATCCAAAATAGAAAACATTTAAATACAAATGTGTTTCCTCTTTAAGATTCTTGAAACAGACATCATGCCAATAAAAATATGTAACGTATGTTATGATATTGTAATAGAACTAATAAATTTTACTATACGATCATCGAGAGTTCAGCAACTCTTTAATGAACTTCAATTTCACCAAAATGTAGAAATTGTCGATGTAAATGAGCTACGTAATAAATATGGTTTGACAAACCAAAATTACGATTTGAAATGCCTTAAAGACAGTCAAACCTGTGAAAAACAAGAAGATGTAATCAAAATAAATGAGGTTCCTGAAGGCAGCTTTTTAGATGAGAACATCGGTGGATTTTTTAAATGTGACAACATTAGTAATTTTAGTGTAGAAAACGATGATGATAGCAGTAATGTAAGCAGTGAAGATGAAAAACCTCTTTTGAAATTAAAAATCAAAAGAGAAGTATTGGATAGACATAGATTAAGAAGAAGAAAAATAAATGTTTTGCCGGAGGACTTTGTTGAAAGTAAATTATCAGAGCAAAGTTCCGAAAATGATTCGGAAGATAGTCTAAATAGTAGCACATTTGAAAAAGATACTCTAAATGAATGCGATAATGTTAAGAGTGAAACTGATTCTGTTTGTTTGCCTAAAAAGATGCGGAGAAGGAACGATTCGCCAGTGGTCTGCGGAATTTGCAGCAAAAGTTTTAATAGTAGAGGTAAATACAATTATCATAAAAAAACCAAACATAATACTGCAAAAAAAAGTGAATCAGTTGCCTGCAAAACTTGTGGAAAAACTTTTAAAAAACAGTCAAGGTTAGAAGATCACGAAAATATGCACTTACCGCCGGAAAAGCGCAAATTGTATTCTTGCCCCCAATGTGATAAAAAATTTGCAGTACAGGCGTCAATTCAATTGCATATTAAAACTGTACATATACGTGAAAAAACGTTTATTTGTGAAGAGTGTGGGAAAGTTTTCGCAACAAGTGATCAACTTAACTCCCATAAAGTTGTTCATTCAGATTTTACACCATTTCAGTGCCCAAAGTGTCCAAAATCTTTTAAAAGACTGACTTCATTAAGAACTCATATCGATTGCCACGAAGATACAAAATATATTTGTCCAATATGTGGATGCCAGCTTAATACCAAAACTATTTTACGCCGCCATATGGTTATACATTCAGATGAGAAAAAATACAAATGTAATTTTTGTCAAAAAGAATTTAAGAGAACAAAAGCTTTAAAAAATCATTTAATACTACATACGGGTTTAAAACCATATGAATGTCCTTTTTGTGATCAAACATTTGCTAACGGGTCAAATAGCAGAAAACATCAAAAAAATTCTCATCCAGCAGAATTAGCAGCAATGGAACGAAGTGGTGAGAAAAGAGCATGTAAAAATGTTCCACCATTAGAACATTTGAAAGCTGTAAATAATGCAGCTATTATTAATCCTCATGATAGTATTATTACCAAAATTGAAAATGTTACTAATGAAAATGTAACGAAATTTTGCTTAAGTACTTCAATTGAAGCAAATCTTGACACTGCCTCTACATTTGATACACAATCTCGAAATCAGTTAACACTTGATTCTAATTTATGTGACAATTTGAATTTTGCTATTCATCCAAAAATCGAATTAAAAGAAAAAAATGATGCGCAAACCGAAAATTGCATTGAACCGCAAATTTCTCCTAAATTTTAAAATTGCAATTATTTTTATTTTATAGATAATATTATGATCGGTACGGAAAATAAGAAATTCAACTTTTGTAACATAAAATTTTCTTTGTAATATTGTATATTACGAAATTAAATGTTACATTTGTTATTATTTTTGTGAATGTATGCATTACTACATTTGAGAACTTAATTTAAAATTGTAAAGTATTTATGTAATTGAATAGTTAAAATAAAAACATTAAGTAAATATAAACATATATTTTATTTTGATAAAATGAAGAATAGTAGATATACTATAAGAGAAACATCCAAATTTTTGATAAATCTATCCTTGAAGGACATTTGTATATGCACATACTAAAATCCAATATGTAATTAAATCGAATATAACTTTCAAAAATTATAAAACATATTTGCTTAATCGCGTAACTTGAAGTGATAGGAAGTCATTTGAAATTTTTATAGTTTACAAAATTTCAAAATTTGGGATTATTTGTTGAAAATTCAATATTTTTCAATATCATATTGTTTTAAATGATGCCTCTAGGAGAATATAGATGAATATTTTTTGTTGAAAGCCCTGAAATTCAAATATGTTTCGTGAAATCACTTTAGAAAATCAATTTAAATATATTGTTTAATTCAAAGCTAAACTTATAACCCAGTTATTAAAGTTATTAATTCTGCATCCAAGATTTTATAAATATAATTAAAGGGTAAAGCTAAATAAAAAACAAATAATAGCTTGGTTCGATCGGTGATGTTATTTATTTAAATTTATAACTTATCTTAAAACAAGTTTTATATTAAAATATAAATAAATTCATATAAAAATAAAATATACAAACAATTTTAAAACAAAATTGTAGAGTTAATCTAAAAAAAACTTAGTTTATACATTAAATAAAGCATTATGTGTATAAAAAACAGTTTCTTATGAATATATTAAATACAGTAAATAAATTAATGTATATGTAAATATACCTTTTTATTTCAAATAAAACTAGTTAATATTTAAAGCTGCGTTTCCCGTATTAAACAAAAAAATTCAAAACAAGAAATCAATTACATAATATGTTTTTCATATTATAACATTTCTTCTCAAACGAAGCTTATTATCTTGTTATTTTATATTAATTATTTTTTATTTTCTCAATTTTTTATTATGCTTTTGCAATTATTACGCGAATTTTATGTATGTACTTAAAAAAATTTTTATAAAAATATCTTGTGGAAAACATTCACATTTTAAATTAATGAGAATTCTGTAAGAAGCAAACATAAAATGCTGTATATATTTTCGTTTTGAATGAAAATATTTTTAAAGTTTTGAGGATTATGTTTCAAATCTTTGTCTTTATTTTAAATGATATCTAAGAAAAATTAAGAATTTTACGAACGTATGTTATAGTTTTAAAATTCGTTGAAAAATGTAATCTTACAGACCAAAATACAATTTGTACATAAATATTAAAAGAATTTTTTTATTAAAATAAACTTACGTTCATTTATCCTTTGAATGAAAAATAAAGCTCAAATTTGATTTATAACTGTGTTAAGTTTTGGATTTTGTATGAACAATATTAAAAATGCTCTGCAAATGAATCAATAAATATTACATATTTCATATATATATATATATATATATAATTTGTTTTTAATATTTTGAATTAAATTTATAAGAAGTTATTTAATTGTACGATTTTTTAAATGAATATTTACTCAGAGGCAAGTTTCTTGGCAATATTTTGTTTTAAGATCAAAATAATTAAAGCTAAAAATAAATTTATTCGATTTTTGATAAAAATAAATTAAATTACGATTATGCAAATTTATTGTGTTAATTTTTTGTTTTAATAATTTATGTTATTTTTAATAATTTTAATTGTTGTAGAATTCAATTTATTAAAAATATTTTTTCTTTCATATTTATAAAAAAAAAAGGTCGAAATTTAATAGCAAAAACAATGAGGATTCTACTTTAATCTGTCCTATTTTATAGTTTTGAATTTTTAAAATTATTTAAAAAAAAAAAAATTCTAATATTTTTGTTTTTAAAATTTTACGATTGAGTAACATAGATAAACAAAAATAATGAATTTACAATAACATAACATAATTCGACTTGGTTCAAAACGAAAAACAAGTTCTTATAAGATACTAGCACAAAATTCACAATTCTTTGTTGTATTTAAGATTTTAAAATATTTCACGTCTCCCTTTATATTTGGATAAATTTTGCAAAAAAAAAAAAAAAAACAAACTTACAATAAAAAAAAAAAATTTCAACACTTTTTTTTAGTTGTCTTATAATTACATAACATAACTAAAATAATGAACAAATTAAAAACCATGTGGAAATTCTAAATTATACATTGTAACTACCATTAACATATTATACTATATACAAAACTAAGATAATGTAAATTTCAACTAATATTTTCTTATCATTGATTTTTGAATTCAATAATACAAATATGAAAGTGATTTTTTTTTGTTTTTTTTTTATTTTTTTTTTTTTTTGAGAATTTTCATTACAATGATATGCCTTTTAATATATTTCTTAAGTTTATCATTCTATCATTCAACTATTATTTTCCTTTTTAAAAGTAATTGCATTAATATTGATTTTTAAACCGGTTACTAATGTTTAACTGCTATAAAATGTTTATGTTATATTATTTTATTTTATTAAACATATGGGAGAAGTGATGATTTATTTAGTTATGTAAGTAAATATAATATAGTAATTTGATTTTTCATCTTAATATAATTATGAGCAATTAATATAATTTATTGTAATTTTCAATAGTTATAGTATATAATTCGCTACATTTTAATTGTGTATAAAATTTAACTAAATTAGTATGTATTTTTTTCTGCTTTTTTATTATTTCGATTAATGTAAGTTAAAAAAAATCAAATATTTTTCTTTATATAATATATATACGTTTTTTATATACATATACATAAATATATTTATAAATAATATAAAAGATTAAACATATTTTAAATTTAAATATTAAATTTTAAATAATTTGAACTACATTGTTTTACATTATCTTCCAGCAAATATGTTGATAGCTGTTGTTCCCGTTCGCTTTCGTATTAATCGAGCTGACACTAAAATTAAAATATAATTTTTAGAAAATTTAATAATGTTAAATTATAAATCTTCTTATTCCTTAAAATAAATTAATATAGTTTTTTTAAGAAAATAATTCAACATGACCTGCATTCCACTTTTTCATACTTAAAAAAATGGAGCATAATATTTTTGTTTAATATTGTGTTTTTTCCAAATTTATAAATTTGTTTTATATAAAGAAGAAAAGGCAGAAATAAAAAATTTATGGAAATCGAGGTTATTTGTAAAAATAAATCTTACTTGAACTGTCTTGAGGTGTTAAGGGCCTTTCTAAAACCTTCTCAATAACTTTAATCCAGTCATCCCTTTCTGTATCTGTATATGCTGACAAATTATAAGCTCGATCTGGTGTAAACAATGTAAAACTGTAACCTTGATCTTTAGTTGCACCACTTGGTGCACCGACTCGAACACTGTAGCCTTCTAAATTATAGCCCAAAAATATTTCACCCTTAGGATAAGCATCTAACGGTTCATCATGATACATTAATTTTCGATTATCTAACGTAAACCATCGTCTTTTATAACCATCACTTTGTCTCGGTCCAGTTTTCAATAACCATCCTTCTTTTGCGAAATCACGTGTTAAACGACTTACAAGTTCGGTATCGCTTGCAATACTAGGAAAAGCGACTTGTAAACGATGTAATTTGGCACATCTTATTGCGTTATACCAATTTATAATTGTTTCTGGATCTTCATGATAAACATAAATATGTCGTGTTGAACCATCTTTCATAAATGTTAATTGCATTGAATTTTGATGACCAATTTTACGCGGTGAAAATGCTACATTTAAATCACTAATTTTTAAAATTGCTTTTGGTTCTTTACTTTCTTTAACGTAATAACGAATAGTGTCATCAGTTTCAGATAATACAAATTTTCTTGGCTGATACCGTGGATCTTCTTTTCCGCGTTTCATTAGGAAACCTTCCATATGACCAGATATGTAGCTTGGTCTTCCTGTTCTCGTAAATTCTAATCTTTCATATTTTGCTCGAATCCATTGTTCAATTAACACCCTACAAAACAAAAAAAAAAGTATGTGTAAATATGTTTCCACTCAATAATTTTACTTAATTTTTAATACATACTGTGGATCATCTTCACACGGTCTTCTATAACATGGCGGAACACGATATTCATATCTTTGTTTTGCTTTTTGATTGCCAACTTCTTTCATCCGTTCTAATTGACTATCTTCCCATTTATCCAATTTTAAATGTTTCACTTTAGATATATGAGCACCCATGCCACGATGTATAGCAGCACATCGAGTACATAAGAATATTCCAATGTTATAAGAAGCCCATTCCACATCTGCAATAAATAAATTTTTCATACTTAATTATGTTTAATACTTTAATTCATATTTTTTTAAAATCGTTTTAATTTTTATATTTGTATGAAAATACTACATTCGGGTGTATAGGTATGTATGTACATATATATTGTAATGAAATTTTTTCAAGGGCAAATTTCTTGGAAAATGTACTATGAAAAATAGAAAAATATAGCTAGAGGCCCATAGATAATAATTGCATTATTCACACATACTTGATCTGATTTCTTTAGTATTGCAATTTTAATTTAATTTTCTTTGGTATTTTAGAATTAAATAATGTATGTAGAACATATTTTGAAATTTATATGAACAACTTTTACCTTAAAATTGTGAAATTTTTTATATTTTAAAACATTTAAACAAACTGTTTTCTTTATATTTAATGTTATAACAAACAGGATGGAGAAGTCAAAAGATCGTATAAAGAAAAAAACAAAAATAAAAAACAAATCAAACAAGACAAAAACGATCAAGAAAATAATTAAAAATTCAATAATTATAAATCCGAATCATAACGTAAATATACATATATGTATGTACATATGTGTACACATATAAAAAACTTATCTACCGGATGTTTATGTTTACCAAGAATTTTATTGCACATTGATCCCTTAACAATTTCATTGTGTTGGTTTTATTTTACTTTTTTTTTTGTTTTTCTAAAAGCATTAATATTGCATTAACGTCGAATGCATTTAATTTAATTTAACAAACATTTGCACAAATTGAATTTTACTTGCTATTTGGTTATGACGTAGAAAAGGGCTTAACAATAATTGAATATAATTTGTAAACAAAAATCTAAGGAATTATGTAAGTACCTACATATGTGCAAATAGAAAGATCAGAAATAATTATTTTTCAAAAATATCATTCAATCAATAACAGTTTTTTATAAATACATTGATAAAGGAACCTATCTATATTGAAGTAAACTATTCAGAAAAATAAAACATGGTATACTTCCGCACATATGTAGTATAATTTGCTTTCGTGCATATAGCAGATAATGTATGTGTGTATACGAGTACATGTAAGTACATAATGAACCACATTTCTGAAATGAATATGCAGTATGTACATACATACATATATGTATTGAACAATTATGAAATATTTATACATACTGCATAATAGTATGAAAATTTATAATTTTTTTCTTTTTCACAAAACAAAAATCATCTTTAAAAATTTATAATTTCATATTTTACTAACAACAAAATAAAAATCTCATGTTTTACATTTTTGCATAAAAAAAATTTCAATAAAAATTTCTTAAATTTTCATATTTAACGAACTTGTTTTTGGTGCATGCGGTTTTAAGCACACTCTGTATAAATCAAAAATAAATTGAAAAAGCAAAATATCAAAAACAATAAAATAAAAACCCGAACGTCATTACGAAGAGGGGGGGGGACAAGTGGAATTTTATTTTGTTTTGATTGCACAATGCGCTTATAGTAAATATTGCAAAATTTTTACATGAATGAAAAATAGTAAAACCTCCTAATATGAATTTTTGTTGTTTGTATATATATATACATATATATATATATATATATATATATATATATATATGCATATGAATGCCTATTTATATATTTTTATAGTGTATTGTATAAGAATTTTTTACTCACACTTCAAAATCTATTCTATGCCAAACACAATCAAACATATTTGTTACAATTTTTTTTTTTTGCTTTTTGTTGATTTTTATTTGGGTTTTTTTACTTGTGTTTTTGCAATTTTTGTTTTTTTTTTTTTATTTTCACGATATTATATTTTAAAATACACCACCCTACTTATGATCTTAAAAGTTTTATCAGTAAAATTTTGTAACTTTCTAAAAAAAAAAAAGCAAAAAAGCAAAAATAAAATATGTATTCCAAATTTTGGAATGTTTTTTTTTTATTAATTTCATGATAATAAACTCAAATTCACTTTAGAAAAATTTTTACGCATTAAAATTATATGCGTGGTAGGGAAAAATTATCAATGAATATGCTTAGGCTTCAATTGAAAAAAAAAAAATATAAAAAGATCAAAATATATACTTATATTATTAACATGGTAAAGGTAATTTAGAATTGAGGAAATACTTTTTTGTTAATTGTTTCACTTTAATCTCAATTTACTTACGTTTACTTTCACAATCAGCGCATCGATTATTTCCATTTTGTTTTATTAACGCTTGCAAGTGTTTTTCATTTTCTTCAACCATATTTCAATTTAAAAAAAATTAACTATTTTAAAAATAAAAAAAAATAAAAATAAATGTTCTCGCACTTTGAATCTGTCTATTGGAAATATTTTCTGTTCTCAGCAGTAATGCCAAATGTTGATACATATTTATACATTGAGCTAAAATTTTTTTTAAGTATAATTTTAAAAAATAAGCTAAAAGTTTTCCATATACATTTTATGTATGTTTACTATAATTTTTTACATAACTTCAATTAAAAAATAAAATCAGACAATCAACATTTTTAAAAGAGACAAAATGTGAATAGACGCAATGTGAAATCTATTGCTATGCAAATTGTAAATATAACATTCAAGTATACTAAATTGTAACTAAACTTAGCGAGATGTCAGAATATACTAAATTAAATTATACGTGATTAATAAAAAAAAACGTACAAAAATTAAATCGTTCTTCATTTCTGTGATGCGTATTTTTCCAATTATCAAAAGTTTAACAGAAATTCAGATAAGAATTTTTTGACAGATCGACAGGCTAAAAAAACAGGATGTGGTAATTCTGTTTGCCTTTAAGTTTTTGAAATATTTGTTTATTGAACAGACCTGCCACATGCCAGATAGCGTTTTGCATTATGCGATTCTTTAGAACGTGATTTCAATTTAAAGTTATTTCCAATTGCGTAAAATTATCATATAGTACAGAACCAAACAAACTTTTTTTTGTAAATTGCTAGTACTCAGATATTTTAATTTAAGGGCAGAGAAAAAATTTATTGATTTATTGGTTAATTCCATACAATTTACATATATAGTATATGAGTAAACGCATCGCAAACCTAATCAAGTAATGAATTCAGTTTTCTTTACCATGAAACTGACACGTTTTTATTTCTTCGTTTTTTTTTGAAAAATGAAATAAAAATATTATAAACAATATCGTACTTGACATTCTTGAAAATAAATAAAATATGACATATGGATATGTATAATATTGAACAGCAATATTATATTGTTCTAACAGTTATGACAAAGTTTTTATGAAAAGCGTGTACGAAATTTTACTCTGCTAAATTAATTCACATGACAAAATAATGTTTTTATTTTTTGATATGAGGTTATTGTAACGAGTTAGAATAAGATCAAACGTATATAAGCATACAACTTGTTATATTCCAGTAGTGTTTACACTCGACACTTTATTTTATCAAGTTGTGTTGTTAAAATAATATTATTCGTGGTTTAGACTAGCTGTTTCTATGCAGTTATTTTGCAATATGTCTTATTATAATGTCTTGTTTTTTTTATGTTATTATGGTAATTAAAATTTTTTATACGTTTGGCAAACTTTTTGCTTAAAATTCAACACTCTGTTTTCAAAAATTAAGAACACTAATTATTTGACTAGCTTTTGATTATGTAATTTTCAATTCAAATGAAGTCTATCAGTTACGTATGTAAAAAAAATGTAAAAAACGAAATTTTTATAACCGATGCCGCCATTGTTTAACTAAAACTGAGCTTCGATTAGCACTGGGAATTGCATAAGTTTTGAAACCTGTGGTTTTTACATATCACATCACATTATATTTTGACTTTTACAGTTCTGACATGTTGAGCTTCTGACATTTATTTTAATTGGAATTGGAGATATCTTACAAAAAAATATCAATAACATAGTTGTATAATAAGAAAAGAAATTATTGCTCGTGATCTTAAATTAATTTGCTTATACATTTGTAAACTAAAAAAGAGATGTCGGCATTATTCAGATTAAATGGTTCAGGAAACATCCAAAACTTATTAAGTTATGCTTTACGTAACACTAGCCGTTCAATATCAAACTCTCCAAAAAACAGAGTCACAGCTGCTACTATTAGTGACACAATTGGTAAACACGCTAAAACCGAAACAAATGTTTCATCAGGTAAGCCATGGATGAGCTACGGCTTTAACCACAAGGACAAAACAACTGATCGCGATGCTTTGTATTCTACATTTTTCTTTTCGATAACTTTGTGTATTGTGTGGGGTACGTTTATTTGGTCATATCTTCCGGACACTCAACTTAGAGATTGGGCACAACGTGAAGGATTTTTAGAATTAAGACGAAGAGAGCAAGCCGGTTTAGATTTAATTAGTCCAAATTATGTAGATCCAGCTACAATTGAACTACCAACCGATGATGAATTGGCTAATACCGAAATTATTATTTAAAAATTTACGATAATTTAAACACATTCATTATTAATAATGTGGTCTTGAAGCAAAAATAAAATATTAATTCGATATTTTATAAATGGAATATTATTTGAGAATTTTTATTTTAAAGAAAGTACCAGCTCAATAAAATTCTGAAGAATATTTTTGTTAAACCAGATGCTAATTCAAAAACGATAAGAACTTATTAAACGTGTCAAAAATGAAAAAAATGTCTACTTTTACTTCGGTATCAAACTTTTCGGTATAAAACTTTTTATAAGATGGAAACAACTTATGTATTGTATTGAAAGCACAATTTTATTACCAACAACGTTCTTGTGTAACAGGTCGCACAAAAAAAATTTAAATTATAATTTTCCTATGCTACACTAGAGAACCTTTTTAAATAATATATTGGAAGTTGACTTAATAAGAAAGAACTTTAAATAATATCAAGTTAAAATTAAAATTATATACTATAGGCAAATTTTCATAAAATTTCTATAAAAGATTTTCTAATGCAAATTTCCTGTTCTTTCAATCAGTTCACTTGGTAGGTGTCTCATTTTTGAATAAAGTTTCTGGGATTGTTGTTGTTACAGTAAGAGGTGGCATGCCAGGTAAAGAAATTGGTGTTGAAACTGAAGTTTGTTGCACTTGAGGGAATGATGAATACGTTTGCACGAAAGGTGGTGCGGCATAACTTAAATCAGCTTGTGGTGAATAATATTGTTGGTGTTGTTGTTGATTAAAAAAATTTGGGGCATCACTATTGAATGTAGGATAACTTAAATATGCATTTTGATTAATGTATGCTGGGTTAGATTGAACCTAAAATAAAAATTACAACTGCAGAATGTGAGAAAAACAAGTTTGCAAATTAAATTACCGATGGCTGAGAAATATTTGGCATTTGGTTGTTAAACCCAGGAATATTAGACGGGGGAGGTATATTAGATATTTGTGAAGGTGATGAAATCATTATTGATGTTCCTGTAAAATGTGATCAAATTTTTGACGTTTTTTTATATGCTATTCAATAGTTTCAAATATTTACCTGTGTTTGCCGAGTCAAAAAGCGAAGGTTGTATTGAAGAAAGTGTATTAGAACCATTTGTTTGTTGCTGATATTCATTTGAAATAAAATGTTGGCTAGTATTCATTAATGATGTTTGTGTTGTTGGGATATTTCCTTGTCCATCTTGTAGAGGCGGAATACCTATTTGAGTCGACGGAGTCGTTATTGTTTGTTGATTAGAATTTTTATCAATACTTAAATTTTCTATATTTTGCGTAACTCTACTTATATCCTCATTCGACGAAGGTTCAATATTAGAATTTTCCATAAGATTAAGGGGTGCAGTAGATACTGTCGTTATTGGAGTAACAAGAGGAGGTGCATTTGTGGTAAAAGTGTTAGTTAGTGGTGGAACATATGGGAACGAAGGATTGACCGTAGCTATTTCAGCAACTTCAATATTTTTCGACGTTTCTTGCTTTTGTTGCAAAAATCCAGAATTGTTGATTGGAGTTTTGGTGTCAATAGATGACTTAAATAAAGGTTTTCCACCTGCAGCGATATGTTGAATAGGAATTCTGTGCAAATAACCAAACCCTATTCCACATCCTAAACTTCCTTCACCGCCCCATTTAGAATTTGGTTTTAAAGTAACTTCCCTACATGTATCGTCATCTATATTGTATACGTACATTTTCAGAGACTGTCCTTCATGAGTCTCAATCAATGTAAATAAATCATCACTTTCATGACGAATGGCATCTGCCCCGATTATATAATCAGAGAACGCTCTTAGACCAGCTTGCTCGGCAGGTGAAGACGGATGCACTTCTAATATATGCCAAACGTTTTCATTTGCTCCTTCGAAAGAACAAAATCTTATTGACACTCCTAAAAGTCCTTGACCACCCCAATTCGATGATGGTGTAATTAAAACTTCACGGACTGATTGTGTCTTACTGCTATAAACAGTCATTTTAATTTGTTTGTCAACGTTAGTTTTAAGAAGCTCTTTCAAGGTGTCATTATCTTGATCAAGGCGTGTATTGCCTATAGCTACTATAAAATCAAAAAATGCCTCAAGATTTGCTTTTTGCCCAGGAGAGTTTTCTTGGACCTGAAATGTAAAAGAAATATTTAATTTTAAAGGTCGTTATTAACACAAATTAGAACTTGTAGATAAGACGTGTCGGTAATTGAATTTAAACAAACTGCTTTAGTTCCAATATTAAAAACTAATTTAAGAAAGCAAAAATGACCTAGAAAGATTACATTCTGAATTTCAGGGTTATCTAATGTTTCATATAACGTACTTTTTTTATACATCTGAGTAAATAAAATTATAAATAACGTCATCATTAGAAAATAAATTAGAAATTAATTTTCCGGTAAATGCAATTCTGCAATACATATAACTTTTCAAAAAACATACCCTTAAGACATGATACCCTTCAGTTCCACCACCCGGTACTTCAATACTTGGTCCTGCTCCCATTTTTTAAAAATTTGTTGTTCCTTCTTAGTTCAAATTAAAAAAAAACAATACTTTTTTCATAAATAAAAGTAAAATTTTAGTTCGTTCTAAAATGATCTGTTAAAAATTACGTGGCAGCTGTCAAATGAAGTGTCACAATAAACCCATTAAACCGCAAAATAAAAACATCTGTGATGTTATTTCAAAAAGTTCAATTAAATACCACTAATAGATCGCGCTGGAACGTTTTCTGTGACGCAGTAGTCTGAACAAATATAAAATGCAATATCCGTACTTATCTTTTCAACGCGATTTTTTTTTCTTCACTAAGCATATCACGGAAAAAAGTAAATAAATTGAAATTAAAATCAAAAGACATGCAATTTTTACCGATTTATTGTAAATTCTTGGATAACTAGATATTGTGTTGATACAAATCCATGGCGTCTGTTAATGCTTGCAATCACTTTCTCAATCCTGCGAAATTTCGAATAAAATTATTTTATCAAATCGTATTAGGAAAACGTTATTTTCTAATTTTACATTTTAATTTTACTGAAATATGTTTGTTGTATACTTATTCAAATAAAGAGCTTGTCAATGATATTTTTTTGCTCTTGCTGAACATCAATTAAAATATTTGGTAAGAAAAGCAAAAAAGAACATTAGCATGAAAAAAAAAACATATATTTTGTTAGCCCAAAAATAAATATTTTCAATATTGGAGTAATTTCTCAGAATGAAAAATTATAAGCAATATATAATGTAAAGCTTTAAGCAAAGATTTTAAAAACATTATAATATAATGTAAGGTTTATAGTTTGGGTGTAAGTTGGTATGGTAGTAGTTTTTAAATGTAAGGCAAACCTTAGAAATATAACTTTAGGCGTTTTCTCATTATAAGTCTGCATCTAAATCATGCCGCATACCGCGTTCATTATGGCTTCGTTTTTATATTAATTTATTTGATTATCGTGACACTATCATGTCTTACAAATTAATTGACAGTAATTGACAGTACTAATTCACCTCTCTACTCTATGATGATTGAAATTAGACTTAAATACAAAGTCTAGTGAATTCAAAGTTCCAAAAAGGTAAGAATTTTATATTTTAATAAACTTAATTATTATTCAATTAAAAATAAAAAATGTGCAAAGTGTGAAAATAATAAGCACCTTTTTCGCTAATTACTTAAATTATATTAAGAAAATTTTACATTCATAAGTACACCAGCAACAAATTGTTGCTTTTATATTCTGATAAAAATCAATTTAGATTTGTAAATTTGAAATTTTTCCTGTAAAATCTATTCCGCAATTGAATTATATTAATTTATTTTATGTAGGAAATGTGATATAAAGTAATGGCTGAAGCAATTGTTCAAGATTGGTTGTCAGAGTATGAATCAATTGAAGATGACGAAGAGATGCGTGTTTTCGCGAATATGCATGAGATGAACCCCGAGGTAGTAGATGCGATCTACACGATTTTAAATGAGCGAATTAAATATCCTGATGTAAGAATATACTTTTTTCTAATATTTTTAAAACATTGGCAATAAATATTTTAGTTGGTACATTCGGTCTGCAATCAATTTCACAGCTTTTATCGGTCAAGTGAAGAAAAACTAAGACGATTCGCTTTACAATTTATTCCAGTGTTGATATATATTTATCTTAATTCTGTAGCAATGGGTGATAAAAAAAATTGCCGTAGTGTTGAAACTTTATTAATTAGTATATATAATATTGAAGTAAGTACAGATGATGGGCAACCGAAAATTGTTTCGTTTCGTATGCCTGTTCTTGCTCAGGCATCTATATATCACGAGGTAAAAAGAAAATTGAATTTTTAAGTAGAAAAAAATATGTACATACATGTGTATTTTTTTAATTTAGGAAAAAAGTACCTTACATGCAACCGATTTGCGAAGATGGGAAGAAAATATTAACCGTGATGTAAAATGGGGTCCACTACCTCAAATTGAGTTAATAAATGCTCAAAATCGAATGAAAATTATGACAGCACTATTATTTTGTTATAATCAACAATTGAGTTTGATACAAAAAGCAGCTTTGTTGCATTTATGTAGAGTTGCATCCCAAATAGTTAATCAAGGTTTTGCTAAATCTGGTCATGTTTATCGTACATCATATGGCAGCGATCCATCAAATGTCACTTCACCGTCAGCACTATCACCGAAAGCATCACCTAGAATCGCATTATCGTCACCATTTTTGATTGAATTAGTGCATTCAATATATTTTGCAATGTTTAATGATTTCGGTACAATTGCTATACAAACACTTGAAGATATTCATCATAGAGCATGTTACGAAATGTTTGCTGATTCTATTTTAGTTACAAACGCAGTAAGACATTCATTACATGCAAATCCGTCAGGTAAATCTTAATTAAAATCAGATTGGTTTTAAATTTTCCTGTAAGGTATAATGTATTTGATTAACTATTGTTTTCATGTATTTTATGTAGGTCAACCTAATGACGGGCCAATGGGATTAAGTGTAGCTCTAACACCAGCTACTACAACCGTTGTTGTTTCGAAATCGATGATTACAAATGCTTCATTTAGGACAAAGAAACTTCCGGGTAAGTGTTTTTTTTTCTTGCTATTTGAGCTTATTTTCAATTTAATTTTCTTCTACACTGCATATTACTGCTGTTCACCGTTATCGAATCATAACCTTTTTTATACTTTATATAAACTAAAAACAACTTAAATATATTTTTGCTGTTTGTTCATTATTCATAATTTAAATAAAAATTACAAAAGTGAAAATATTGTGATATTATTGTGATATAAGAGTGTCAATAAGTTTCTACTATAAATATCTATAGTGTTTTTTTTATATTATTTGCAAGTAATAATGTATATAACATTTATCATATTATATTATTACTTAAATACTGTTATTTAAAATTTTAATAATTATGTCTTTTATATAAAAATTCAAAGTGTACATAAAAAAACGTACAGGTTTCATTTTTTGTGATAAATACGAAGAATTTTATGCATTCTAAAATGTAAATATGCATTCATTTATAAAATTTGGCTTATTAGCTTTTATGTTTGTTTTTCTTTTCTTTCATTTATTTGTTTTTCTGTTGTTTTATTTAATATATTTACTAAATATTTAACGCTTTGGTATTTGTAAGGTCGAATTCCGGATTACCAGAAAAGCTATTTTCAGAAGAATTTCTGTTCTTATTATTTATTATATATTATCATATTATATTTCCAAACATAGTACATACATGATCCACACTGTATATATATAATTTTTTAAAGGTGTTTTGAAATTGTTAGAGTAACCAAAGTGTATTAAATTTTATTGTATTAAATTTTTTGTCTTGCTATAGATCATGTAAATTATTATTTATAATATTATATTTGAAAAAAATTAAAAAATAACTTCACTAAATTGTTATGATTAATTCAGTTTTTCAAGAAAAGCAATCATCAAGATTCGGAACTTTTTGATGATTTGAGAGAGCGTAATGTAGATTCCAAAAAAACATAAAATATGTTAAATTCTTAGTTGTTCAAGGCAAATGTGAAATTAAACTTTGTGCAAATTTACTTCTTTTCCCTATGTAAAATTGAAAAACAAAATGTCTTCAAAACTATTAAAAAAATTGTCAGTTATAATTATAAACCTCAATGTTGGTATATTTTTTTTTAAGTATTATTTAATAATAAAACTATTATAGCGAGAAAATACACCATTGAATTTCATTTATTTTGAACAGTAGTAGTTTCATATACATTCAAATTTGTCGAATCGGTGTTAAGTGTTTTTCAAAATTTTTATTTATTTTTTAATTGTTAATATTAAATGTTAAATAGAAATTATTTTTATTTATAGGGTTTTAAAATATTTTTATGTAGCACTACATTATTAATGTTGTTTCCTACTTTCTATTTTTATTAATTGATTAAAAGCATCCTGTATTTTAGTGGTTTCTTATTATTTAAAACATTATAAAAATGTTAAGAAACGTGTTAAATTTTACATAGTATTATAATTAGTATTTTATCAGCATATAATCTCACAACAATGAAAAAGAAAATTAAACTAAAATAGTTGAGATGATAAATTAATGTTTCTAGTTAAAAAAAGAAATAGTATTGCTTTTCTCTAATAAAAACATTATAATTAAATTTTATAATTGAAACAGTTAAATTTACAATATGCTATTGTATTTTATCGTTTTGTTATTGTAATTATTATCATCGTGGTAATAACTTAAGTTTTATTATAAAATAAACTATTTTGCAACTATATTATACAAGTATTAGTGAAAGTTTTCATATTTAAATTAAATGAAAGATATAGATTGGATAAAAGACATATCTAGATGAAAATAATATAAAATAAGAATTTAATATACCTTAGAAAACCTGGTAAATATTCCGTATATACAGTTTTTTTTATGTAGCAAAACCATTTTTTTTTTGTTTTACTTTCTTCAAAATATACTGCAAACAGTGGGATATTTGTAAACGGCGTTGACTTAGCAATAAACAATTGCTAATGGTATAATATTCATATAATTTAAAAGTCTATATCATTTTAACTAATTATTCCATCAAGGTCAAATAAAGGTCAAAAAGTAGGTTCAAAAAGTTTCTTTAATATTTAAATAGTAAATAAATTACACTCTTAATAAAAAAAATACTTTCAAATTGTGCGACCTGTATGTGATCGCAGCTTAAATCTTGTAGTTACGTTTCGGAGGGAGGGTACCCTACAATAAGAAAAAATTAATCCATCGCAGTCTCTTTTATACGTTACGGTATAATTTTTCGAATATCACTAAAGCAAAAAAAACAAAAATTGTATTTTTACATTAGAAATGTATTACAGCTGTGCAGTTAATAGAAACAATAATGATAAATTAAATTAAAATCTCAAATTTTCAAAAAGTCAAATATTCTCTTTTCAAAGTGACATTTTAAATATTATTTCAGTATGTACTTTACTGTTACAAATAGAATAATGAGCTTTGTTTCAAGATTAGATTTAAAAGTAAATAGTAGCGGCATTTTTAATTTGCATTTTTCACAAATTGAAAAAAGTTAAATGCACATTTATTTTGTAAGTGAATTAGACGTTTCCTTTTAAATACAAATGAGATGAATAAGAAAGTTTCGCATGCGAAAATTCGTTCAATATAGGTAGTATAGTACATAATCTCAAGCAACTTTTATTTTCAAATAAGCAAAGAAAAAAAAAGTAGGTAGATGTATAGAATTAATAATAGGCTATATAAAGAAACAATTTTAAAATATCAATATCAAATTACATTTTGACATTTTGTACTATAATTTTAAAATTGCACTGCAATTAGAAAATTTATTCTTAAAATCATGGTATAAAATTCAATGGAAATGTATTAAATTTTTAGGTTTAGTAGAAATATCAATGTTATATAATATAAAACCAATTTTTAACAAACTTTATTCTTGAACCAAAATTGTATGATTTTTAAATTTTAACTAAAAAATTAAGCTTTTAATGTAATTTTTTTGATTTTGTTGTATTTTTTTTGTTTTTGTTTTATTTCTCTATAATTTTTTTTAATGTTAATGAACCTGTGGAAAATTTGAATTTTTAAAATGAATTTCTCACATAATAAAATCTTCAATCTGGTTCAATTACGTTAATAGCTGTTTTTAACAAATTATATATCGGCTGTTTTATTTAATGCCAAATCTATCTACACCCCTAGCGTTTTTCAGACAAATTTGGAAATGATTTTTGATTTACTCTTTGAGCTTGGTGGCCTGATAGATATATATGGCATTAGTTTTGTTATCTTTTCTTTTAATTTAAACCTTTTAGGCGAGATTTTGTTTGATATACTTTTTTGTTATTACTCACATCTATAAATGTTTTAAAGAATATCTCACTGCTATTTTATTTCTATATCTTTTGAAAATTTTTTAATTAAAATCAAATTAACAAGAAATAAAAGAAATCATTTTTTTTTTTATAAAAGTATAAAAAAATTTTTATATGAAATAAAATTCTTTTGTTTTTATTCTTTTGTTATAAAAAAAAAACAAAAAAAAAATAATAACCAAAATTGACGGATATTTGAAAACTTCAAAATTATAATAAAAAACCTTATGACCTTAATATACATACAGATGATTTGGATATGGAGTTTCTGGCACGATTACCTCCACAATTAATTGAACGTAACGAAAATTTAACTTCTACAGAAATTTTGAATAATGGATCTGCAAATTCATGTATAGATGACATTAACAATCTAAATAATAATCAATCATCTTCAACTCAATTACCAAAAGATGGTAAAAATATATTAGACGCCATGAAAATGAATCCTCGCAAATGGAAAAATTGGGGATGGAAATATAGTCCTGGTAGTAAAACATCAAGTATCGAAGAAGAGCCTGATTCACCAAAAAAATCATTATCATCATCAAAAAATTCCAGTCCGAATAATTCACCTAAAATTAAAACGAAACAATTAGTTAGTGCACCAACTAATGGCGTTAATCAAAATCAACAACAATTGAATGTTAATGCAAGAGATGAAAATGGTACATTATTGCCAATAACATCTGGAAATTCAACAGCATCATCAGCTCTTATGTTGTTACCAGCTGCAATACGTCGTAAAAAAACCCCATCACCAATTAAAAAATCATCTGAAATTAGATCAAGTGCCGGTGCTAGATTATATCAAACTTTAGAAGATTCACAAGACGATTCAGCCGATGAACACGATTCATTATTAGGAAATGTTCGACCAGCTAGTATACATGTTTTGCAGACATCAGCTGGATATACTATTCTAAATAAATAGGAATAAAATTTTCTGTTAAAAAATGCTGCCTTCTATTACGAAATATTTTCCTTTAATATGTTTTATTGTTTTTTAAATGCTAGCTTATTTAAACTGGTAATTAATATGAAATAAGAAAATACTAAAATTTTGCCTTCTCAAAAATCAAATTTTTTGAAAATTTTCTGAATCATTTTCATATTAAATTTCTTAATAATGTATTTCAATATTCGATTCATTTATGACCTAATCTAACAATTATATTTATGATTGGAATTTCCAAAATCAACAAAATAATCAGCTTAAATCACAAAATTCTTATTGTAATTACTTAATGTCTATTATTATCGTATAAATTTAATTGTTATTTTCCACAAATAAAATCGAGTTAAAAAAAATTTCTTATAGTTGATCTAAAAGCATTTAATTGCTACGAAATACTAAATTATCTAAATCATTATCCATAAATTTTTACTAAATTATTATTCTGGATTTTAATCCAAAAATTTTCAATACTTCAAATAATTTCACAAATTATTATTAATTTATATTAAGATAAAGAAGACGAAGATTAATCCTAAAAAATTAAACTTATTGGCAGCATTTTTTACAATGATTTGAATTCTATTTATTTTTAATAGTGTATTTAAAATTCTCTTCTCTGCGTTTTAAATTAATTGAAACATTGTAATGGTATAAAAAATTTTTAATAACTTTCTTTTCTTCAATTATTGGAATTTCTTTTTAATAAGCTGTTTTTTCAAGCAAAA